CCTGCCCAATCTGACCCCCTTTGCAGCAGCACAGTAAAACTAACATACTGAAATTGCTTTTCTCTTCCCTTCTCTCTCATCTTCTTGTTTTTCTAGATGTTCCCCCTGCCAGTGGCTAATGGAAAAAACAGACCCACGACCCTAGCGAGCACTCAGTTTGGAGGATCAGGTACTGTCATCTTCATTTTTTTTTTTTTTTCCTTAACACTGTAATGTTTCTTGCAATAAATTTGCTTTTGCTTCCAGAGACCCAAAAGGAGGCGTTTCTGTAGTTTTGTGTTACACGTTTTTCTGGTGGTGGTTTGCTACTATTTCTCTGGGTGTTTTTCTTGTTGCTCTGGGTAGACAAAGCTGCTCTTGCTGATCTGTCTCCAGTTAAGAAGTCACTACCTGAGCTGAAGGTTGTTGTCTTGCCGCTCTGATTGAAGCAGCCTGAGAGCAGCAGACAGTCAGTGCTGTTCTCGTAAGCTGCTTAGGTGACCGCGTGTCTGCAGACGTACGCCCTGGAAGACTTTTGCTGTTCATCACCGAGAAGATGTGGTGGTGGTGGTGAATTCCAGGGCTGCAGCTGCCCAAAGGGAGATTCTGGTGCAGTTTGACTGCCTGCTCCATTCAGCCCCTCCGGCAGCTCCCTGATGTTGGGTGGGATCTCAGCATTCCCTGACGGGAATGAATTTTTTTGCAAAGCCCTCCTGGCCAGATGCCTCCAGGCAGCACGGCCGCTGCGGGGAAGCAGGCAGTGAGAGTGGCCGGAGCTGTTCACCAGCTTCCGAGCAGGACCCCGCTGCAGTTTTGGGGTGCTGTTGAGCAGAGCCTCACCTGTCCTGCCTCGCCGCAGCGCCCTTGAAGCCAGCAGCTGGCCCTGCTCCCCGGGAGCGCTGAGTGGCCGCATCTCTGCCGGCCAGGATGCCGAGGAAGGGCCGGGGGTGCCAACATCAAAGGGCTTTGGGAGAAGGGCGTCTGCTGGGAGGAGCGGGCTGGCGATCCGGCTGCGATAGGAGACTCTCTGAAGGGCGCGTAGCTTTAGATGTCTGATGGGGAAATGCAGCACTGGTTAATTTGAGGCTGAAGAGGAGAATTCCCCAGCTGGGCGGACGGCGCAGTGTTGTGCCAGGCTTTTGATGCCCGGGGAAGCCGCTCTGTGCAGGGCTCGCTGCGGTCCCTGGCATGCAGGAAGTTCAGTTAATTTGCCCTTCTTGCTGAAACATGCTGATGCTTTGTGGATGGTTAAAACTTGACCTTCTCTACCCTGGGCCGACTCAGGCTGTCCAGGGGAACTCCTGGCCACATGGAATGGCTGTGCCCCGATACCGGGAGGCATCCCAGAGACCAGGGTGAGATTTCTGGATAGCAGCTTCGATGCCACAGCGTGTGCCGTGGGGAAACCTGCAGAAGTGGGACGGGAGGGGTGTGCTGCTCCCTGCCCTGCTCCTGCGCTTTTTGGCCAAGGAAATTTGATGCTTTCGGATCGGGCTGTTTAGCTGCGTGTCACAATGGCTTTGAGCAAACATTTTTACAGGGAGGGAAGCTGTTGAGTGGGTGCTGGAGGAAATTTGAGGGGAGAAAGCTCTCAGGTTAACCCAGATGGAAGCTGATCTCTCCAGCGAGTGTTCCTGTGTGTGACTTCTGCTGTTAAAATAATCCACAAAAGACATGCTACACGCTAGTGAGAGAATAGTAATGGAGCAGCTTGCATTAATTCGTTTCCTGCTCGGGCTGCCTTGGCTGCCGGGTTTATAGAGCTGGCCAGCGAGCAGAGGCTGCGAGCAGGGCTCTGCGGTACGGCCGGCGCAGTGACCGGACCCCCCTCTGCTTGGCTGTGCGGCAGCTGAAACGACACAGAATCTTTTCTTCTCCCCCCCTCTTCTTTTCTTTCGGGTGAGTGAAAGGTAACGTTGACACCACCCTTCCTCTGGGCTGCTGCTTTGTGAGTCTGGCTGTGAGCAGTTCATAAAAACAGGACTGATGTTATACAACTGCACTGAAGGCAGTTGCACAATTGCTGCTGTCCTGGTCTCGGGGCTCTGCAGCAGCTCTTGTGTCCTGCCGTGGGCATCCTGGATTTGAAATGCACTCGGGGCTTGGAAACCTTTTGCTCCAGCAGCGGAGTTGTCCCTTGGCCAGTCATCCTTGGCCTCACCTTCGGAGAGCGGGGAGCATGTTTCGTTTGCGGCTTTATGACTTGTCTCTGGTCCTGAATGTTTGACAGTTGATTTTTGCTGGTGGGGGGTGAATAACTGCAGTAAGACGTTAACGACACTTGCCATGCACAGGCGTGCGCCGCCTCTGTTAGAGGGATTCAGAGGGTCTAAACTAGGTCCTAGATAGTGGCGAGTGATTGTTTTCATAGTTTGTTGGTTTAGCTTAATTCAGTAATTGACAGCAAGGAACAGTCATCCCCAAAGGCGTAGCCAGCCATCCGGCTCAGAATTTGATCTGAAGTCGAATCGTCACCAACGCTGATGTGGTCAGAAGGGGAAGAGCAGATGGTCCTTGGATTTGGGGACCTGGACTTGCTGAGGGAGCAGAGTGTCTTGCAAGCCACGCTGTAATCCGGACCTGGAGATTAGCTCCCTAAATCTTCTTGGTTTGCAGGATGGCCTAGGCTCCATCTTTAATGTGCCTTATATATTTTTCCAACACCCCTGTTCAGTGGGTGTCCTGTACCCCTGATAAAGGTGGTGCAGGATTTCCCCTCCGCTCCTGTACCTGGAAAGGAGAAGCAAACACAGATTCGCTTAAGTCTCAGCTCTTAGTAATCTGTGCTATAGTGCCAGTGTCTCATTATTTGGGGTTGTTGTAGTAACCCCAAGATAATAAACTGATGTTGTCTTATCGGTCAGAAAAATTGGTGTTTCGTGCTTTTTCCCACCCTCGGACATGTGAATTCATTGGCTTCCCATTTTTCGTCTCTTTCCTCCTGGGGAAATCCCGGGGCAGTTACGTAGCTTTTCTTTTTTTCCCTTCTGGAGGAGCTGTTAACTCGTGGCCCTGTCCTCCCCAGGGGGTGTCAGGAGTGAAGGGAGCAAGGCAGGGACTCTGATGACTCCCTGCCAAAATGCCCCACTTGCCAAGATGAGGTTCTTGCTTCTGAAGTCCAGCTGGTAAATAAGGCGGCGCAGTCGTTTGAAACGGTGCTACCAAAAATTCAGAGGGAGAAAACTGCCCCAAATTCAAATCTTTTTCAAATCCCAATTAATAATTGCCCTGGCCAAGCTGCTGACGCTCACGTGGGTGCCCCCCTTTGCTAAAGGGAACCCACTTTTCTCTCTCAGGCCAGGAAAACTCAAAAGTGTTAATGCAAGCCCTCCAGCTTTGAGATCCCTTTGCTTTTATATTTGTCTCCTGGTTTTATTTTAAGCTCTGCCACTGTTTCCCTCATTTCTGTCCTTAAATGCACCAGGGAGGAACTGGTTTAGCTACCCCGCCGCATGGACAATTCAGCACCTCCGCTTTGCATTTTCTTGGCAAGGCGAAACCCAACAATTGCCACTAGGATGGAGCTTACGTCATGCAGACTGTGTCTGCAGCATTTATAGCACATATAGGTCACCGCAGGGAAGTTGGTCTTCCTGGGGCTTTGAGCTGCAACTAGTGTTTTCCAGCGTAAGCCGTGTCATTTGCTGCTGGCGTTTTATTTTAGCCAGGACGCTCCGTGTATGTCTATTGTCCTGGTCCTAGAAGGCTGTGGTTTCATCGTCCCCTTGCCAAACTGTTTGTTATTCTTCGCAGTAGCAAAACATTTAAAACCGTGTCCTCTGTGTCGTCCCCCCCCTCCATGTCATAGTTCATAAATGACTAATCTGATCAGAAATGAGCTCCCTCCCAGCGTGCTTAATTAAACTGTGCCTCTAGCAGGAAACCGCTCGTGCTAAATTTCACATGGAAATAACTATTTTAAATTGACATTAAGACAGGAGTGGCAGGAGGCAAAAGAAGTTTTCATTGTCTCTTCCCAGCCTGGGCCGTGCCGGGGCTGTCACCTCGTGGCTGCTGAGTTTTCGGCGGGGTCGGTGCGTGCCAGCTGCGCCTTTGCTTCAGCAAACGAGCTGGGGCTCCGTGGAGCAAGGAAGGCAAACGGAGGCAAATGGTTGTGTGAGGTAACGCAGCTCCCAGAGCAGCTCCGGAGCAGCGCTTTGCATCCATGGTGGGTAGGGAACGCGTGCAGCCATCTCCCCTCCTCGTCGGAAACAGTGCGCGATGCCGGGTTTGTGTCCTCTTGAAAGGGGAGCCCTGCTGACAGATGATTCTGCTCACAACAAATAAAAGCTCTGTTAAAAAAAAACAGCCTTTTTTTTTTTTTTTTTTTTTCCCATTTTTGAGTAAGTGAACTCACCGTTAAATGTCTTTTCCTTCGTGCTTTGGGCTCCCTTGCTTGGGATCTCTTAGGTGGGTTTGGAAGGGAGAGTCCCCTCCTCATCTCTTGCTGTGGTTTCCACCTCCTAAAATTTGTTCGGTGCTTTTTTTTTTTGCTGGTGAGATGGTGAGATGAGGCTCATTGTTGAGGGAATTGCTTTGATCGGGGCAAGTTCATAAAATACATTTGAAGCTGGCTAACCGGGGAGTTTTTCAAAGAGTTACAAGCTGGTGCATGTAACAAATTCTAAGTTATAGTCTCCTGAACAAAGTAAACGCATTCTCCCTGGAGGTAGGTGAGTCTGCATCCCCTTTGAAAGCCTGCTTTAAACAACCTTCAAACTTAGATACCTGTGGCAACAGCACTGAAAGTAATAAATCCTATGAAAGATGAAGTTGTCTCTTTAATTGGTGCTATGGGTGAGCTGTTTGAAGATTTAATTATTTTGTGTGCGCGCACAGCCCGGTATTAGGAAGCTCCGAGGTGGGGAGGGGAGGGTCTGGGGCAGCGGCTGGGAGCGCGGTGCCTGCCCCGGCGGCGCTGGGCTCTGCTCGCAGGGGGGGGCGGCCAGCTCGGTGAAGTAAAAGCGTCGAAGTTGAGAGAGTTGCGAAGAGCTAAGCGCAGCGTTTCTGTGGCCGTGCTGTCAGCAATTGGATTTCAGGCTGCAGAAACGCATTTGCAACCATTTACCCTAGTGAGGAAAGCAGGAGCTTTTATTAGTAAGGATGTATCACGTTTTCCTACTAACTGCCTCTAGTTCCCACGTGTTTTGCTTATGCTGAAGTGGGAGTGATGGGCTTTACTTGCTATTT